ACGTTACCTTGTTTATATTTTGTCAGTAGGTTCTATATACGTTACCTTGTTTACATTTTGTCAGTAGGTTCTATATACGTTACCTTGTTTATATTTTGTCAGTAGGTTCTATATACGTTACCTTGTTTATATTTTGTCAGTAGGTTCTATATACGTTACCTTGTTTACATTTTGTCAGTAGGTTCTATATACGTTACCTTGTTTATATTTTGTCAGTAGGTTCTATCTACGTTACCTTGTTTATATTTTGTCATAGATCTCATATACGTTATTAGTAAATTTTACGTACGTCACTGTGCTCAAGACCATTACTGTCTAAGTATGTTTGATGAACAACAGCATATTACAAAACTATTATTTTACCAAAGAATTGATGTACAACACTTAGTTCTATGTCATTATTGTGGTAACTTGACGAATAAAACCGTGTTTCAAACAGTATTCGATAAGAAACACCGAATTACAAACTATTACTTTGTTAATAGGTTTGATTTACAACATCATTATTTAGACAATTTCTTATACAAGACATTCGTTGTAAGGAACAATATTCCAGGCTACATTTACCCCGGAAATGAACTTATTATTTTATGTTATCACAAGTTACAGCTGTAAAAGCTGTAACTTGTATTAAAGTACACTTAATCAGTAACTAAATTCAAAACGAAATAATTGTTTTATTGTTGGTGTGTATTTATTTGAATAAAATGTTCGTGATATGTCAGTGTTGTACTGAGAGATTAACTATTGATAAATTTCATTAAAAAAAAGAGAAAGTTAAATTTGAATAATCCTGTTATCCGATTACCGTTTTGCGATAATATCCATCTTTTCAATATTTTATATTATCATTTGTATTATTTTCGAGTATTTTTTTTTTATTTCTCTTAAGACCAGCAAAGATAACCTCTATCCTTACCAAGGAAGTCTACTCAGGTTGGAGATTTACTTCGAAACTCTTTATCAACTTGTATATCAACAGGTTCCAAAATATGAGGTAAATATTTAATTCAATTTACGTTGCTTAAGTAAAGAGATTAGAGATTTTCCTCTCATCTTTATTGAAACTTCTTTATGTAGAGTTAGATTAAAAACTTCAGAACTAAACTCAAAATATAAAACCTGACATTATTTTGGATGTCAAAAGACAAATAGCTTATGTCGTTCAATAAGCCTGTCATGTACTTTGTTAAAAGAAATGGCTTGTGGCATTACTGTGAACGTTTCGTTTGAAATTAATATATCTATTACAAGCAAAAGTACCCGTCCCCAGTGACGGGAAACGTTTAAGTTAATTTAGAAAAAGTAATCGTCCCCAGTGACGAGAAAAGTTTAAGTTAATCTACCAAACGTACCCGTCCCCAGTGACGGGAAAAGTTTAAGTTAATCTAGCAAAAGTACCTGCCCCCAGTGACGGAAAAAGTTTAAGTTAATCTACCAAACGTACCCGTCCCCAGTGACAGGAAATTTTAAGTTAATCTAACAAAAGTAACCGTTCCTTGTGACGGAAAAGTTTAAGTTAATTTATCAATTCAAATTATTTCATGGACATTCAAAAGGTTAATTGTGTTGCACTCTTGATTTTACTTAGAGCCAAAGCTCTAAATTACTTATACCGCTCACCGCGAAAAGTAATTGTTGAACATTTCAAGCATGCCAAGAGCTACTCAACAATAATATACGGTAAAACTACATTTTTATTCTTTAGTTACGTCACATTTTGAAATGTGAATGAGATTGTGAGTAATTCCTAACAATTTAGTGTAGAATATCCAGCTTGCGAAATAAAATTTGGCATCAACATCATTCATGCCTGTTCTCTCGTCATTTCAAAAGTGAATCTTGAGCTTTGCCTGCGTGCGCAGCTTTTCAAACGGGAGACAGAGGAACGCTCGAACAGACACCACGGTTCGCAATATGTATATAAGATGTTATTACTCTGTCAAAAAAAGTAAGTTAAGCCATAAAAATACGTTCTTTCATACACAATAAGGAAAGAAGGAAAGCATTTGTATGTCATAATTTATTTTCTTCATAAAGTAATGTGTGTAAGCACTTTCCAAAGAACACTATCCATTTTAAGTAATATATCTGCCCTTAGAAACGAATAATGTAGCTTTTTAATTACAATTTATGTATATGGAATAAAAATTCAAATTAAATTTTAAGCAAAAATGAGGTTAACATTAAGAGGCAATACTCTGCTCATCCTTATATATATATTTTAATTGTTGAAGAATATTAACTTAAAACTTATAACTTATGATCAGTAGAAGGCACTTAGGTAGTGATTATTACCTGCAATCAAAGTAAAGTAACTGAGATAAACCGTGTACATTTTATTCATGGTAGATACTGAGCAAAAAATCTTATACGCTGTAAATAATAAAAGACATTGAGAAGTGGTTATTACTTACAACTGAAGAAAGATGTAGAGTTTATAACTTGTAACTAATGACATATATTAAGTTAATGATTATCATTTACGATCCTCAGAAGGTCATAAGTTAAAACTGGCTAATGCCAAACAAGAGATAATGAGCTAAAGATAAAAAAAACGGCATTCATTGAGTTGTTAATTGTAATGATAAAAGAATAAAACGCATTGAGCTGATATTTAAAACTTTCGGTTATTGACATATATTAATTTACTGCATGTGTTTTAACTCAAAATAAATTAGTTGTTAAGATGTTTAGATTAAGACGACGTAAAAATATGTACTTGTATTGTTCGTCTACGACGTAAAAACATGTATATTGTACTGTTGGACTACGAAGTAAAATCATGTATTTTATATTCCTATAATTTTAGTTTAGTTTGCATTGTTATTGATAGGGTAATACAAAAAATTGTTGTGATTCTTTTGCAGATCGCAGAATTATACAGCCAACTGGGCGGACAACTCAGTCTCTGGCTGGGTATATCTCTTGTATCATTCTTCGAATCAGTCGAACTACTCGTGATGGTTTTTCAGTTTTACTGGCAACGTTGCATAATCAGTAACTCAAATTAATAGTCCTCAGTACAAGTGTCTAGCTTACATTCTGGATCAGTACTTGTATCTGTTAGTGAAACTTTTGTTTGAGAGAAAAAAATACTAGATTAAAAAGAATCAAAACACTTAAAAGTTGGTTATGTTTGATGTGGCAAGCACAGTCAACAGTGGATAAACCGAAGCCATAGAATGTTGTAGATAAAATATTGTTCGACTCTGTTTGAAGCAGTGAGATAGGCTTAGCTACAGAACGTCGGTCAAAAATACCCAATCCCAAGGTAGTACCCTTAAGCCCCATAAAACCTTTCCAAATAATAATAAATTATTCAACAAAATAATTTTTAGTAATCTAATTCCGGTCCTATTAGTGAAAATAAACGAAATTGCTGAAGTTAAGCAATAGAATATCTAATCCAGTCCAAGGTATTAAAAAAACATAATCCAATCACAGTGTAAAAAAAAAAAGAGTTATTGATGAGACATTTAATGTATAGAGAAGTTGTAATGTGAAACTTCTAACTTATTAATATTGCAGTATATATTCATTCACTAATATCATGCAGATTTCACAAAATACAGTTTACATTAAAATTTTAATAGCACACTGATGTATGTTCAGATACACAATCTTATATTGTCTAGTGTGGTACGTGATATATATGTTAACTATATTTTAATATATTCAGATACCACGCGTAGTATACAAATGAATCTTATTTTGGTAGAGTAATATAGTACCGTATATGATACAACATTTCGATGTAATGTTATAAAGTATACTAAGATTAAGTTTCCTTTTGCATTATCGGCTACTAAATATTATGTTTGATAATTATTCTGTTGCATTATCTGCTACTGTGTATGATATATTAGCTAGTAGTCATAGCATTATGTAGTGGTTAATTGATCTTTTTCAACATTACCGGGTACTAAATAAAGATAACGTATAATAATATCTAAACCACACTATATCCAGGGCTCTTCAGGCTGGATGGGATATGACAGATATTATAGCGGTTAATACTGCTATTTACACTATCTAATTGTTTGAACAACAAATGTTTCGATATGAACTAGAATAAGTTGTTGAAGTGTAATTCCTATCACTTTTATTTAGTTAGTGTTTAGGACAAGCGCAATATAGTGGTTAGCACGACAGGTTGTAACTCGGAAGGTCTAAGGTTCGAACCGCGATATGCTGCTGAATACGCTCCACAACGTTCAACTAAATACATGTTATAAAAGTAGCAGTTAATATTGCTTTAAACGTGTAAACGGCGATGCTGCTACTGATTGCCCTTCCTTTGTTCAGCAGCTGTACATTAGAAATAACTAAGTTTGAATATTGGGAACTTTGACCTCGCTAATTAGTCCATGTGTCGTATGAGGTATCGGTTAAATATCCCAAGGTTAACCTTTTTTCAGCATTGCCTAATATTACACGTGATATAATAGTTGCTATTACAATATCTGGGATCACGCGTTATTAACTTTATTTTTTGCTTGTAAAGTCACACTCTTTACACTAGTTATTAGCATTAGTCACACTAGTGTACTAGCTGCTATTTTTAGCATTGATAACATTCTTGCACTGTGTAATACCATAGTTTGAACGTTCCCATTTTATACTCTTAAATAAGCTGGTATTTCAGTATTTATTATCCATAATACGAAGCACATGCTCGCAAGCTACAGGTTATAGACATTATCATCACAAGCTCTGCAACATCCAGGTAATAATCACTGCACATTGTTATCACCAGGTACGTAACCTTCTGATTATAATCACTGTACATTGTTATCACCAGGTATGTAATCTCCAGGCTATACACGCTGCACATTGTTATCACTAGGTTATCCACATTATCATCACAAGCTCTGCAACATCCAGGTCATACTCACTGCACATTGTTATCACCAGGTACGTAATCTCCTGATTATACACACTGTACATTGTTATCACCAGGTACGTAATCTCCTGATTATACACACTGTACATTGTTATCACCAGGTACGTAATCTCCAGGTTATACACGCTGCACATTGTTATCACTAGGTTATAGACATTATCATCACAAGCTCTGCAACATCCAGGTCATAATCACTGCACATTGTTATCACCAGGTACGTAACCTCCAGGTTATACACACTGCACATTACTATCACCAGTTCCGCAACCTCCGCCCCCTCCCAGCGGCACAGTAGTATGTCTGCGAACTTACAAGGCTTGAAACCGGTTTTCGATACCCGTGGTGAGCAGAGCACAGGTAGCCCATTGTGTAGCGTTGTGCTTAACTATAAACAACAACAAACAACCGTAACGTTCAGGTTATACACACTGTACATTGTTACCCCCTTGTTGCGTAACCTCCTGATTATACACACTGCACATTGTCGTCACTAGCTTCGTCATTCTTTATTGCCATGAATGATTTATCTTCTCCACACACGTGCTGCCAAATAAGTTACTGTATTGTTTAAATCAAATATGGTCATGGATATATGTATCGTACATCAAACATCTATTATAATAATACCCAGTTTTTGCCTGTCCTAAAAATACATGTGGACCTTACTATCTAAGTGCGCATGCACGCGCACTTAATTTCAAACCATGTAAACAAAACGCGAATCTAAATATGCTTTAGTAGACGTTTTGTACAATATATTAAAAGCTTATCAAAGTATTAAGAAAAGCCTAACGTTAGGTCGTGGAATAACATTATAAGTTTATTCAATGGCAGTATTAAGTACGATAAAGTTTAGCACCAACTAAAGTAAACTAAAAAAACGTACACAAGTTACAGTGTTAATTTATCTCTTTATGAAATAAAGGCTGGATAATATAGCTAATGTTAGGTCTAAACAAGTTGACCTATAGATTTCGGTGTCTGCAATTCGAATTGTTTTTTATTACTCTAGAAAACCTATATTTAAAAAAGTAATTTTCCAATAAAGGTATTGATTTGACCGCAAATATTTTGCGGGTCTCTGCCAGTAATAAAGAATGCATATATTACATTAAACATGATAATAGAATAAAAACAACAACAAAACATTTCAAATGTTTTAGATTATTTATGAAAGGCAACTTAATGATAATCCCAGTTGCTTGTACATATTAGGTTGTAGTATTAATTGTTTTAAAGGTTTGGAAAACGGCAGTGAAGACCCATGTTAATAATTAGAGACTTGTTACTTGAAAGTCGATGTTACGATCGTTTTGATACTACTTTGTTATGATCGTATTACACTTGCGCTTGGCTTTCCCTTGTTATGTCCATCGACTTTATTCAGGTTGTACTTATTCCTCACAGGAATTGACTCATACCAATATAGACATAACACACTGCTGTTTATTACTATAATCAACAACATATAGATTTAGAAATAGGTTTTGCTTCTTACTGGCATCATATTACTTTCTTCCTTCGCCCCTCTCGGTTTATTCTTTCTCTCTCGCATCTCCCGGTCTTATTTCTTTTCGTTAAACTCTTGTCTTTTACTTTTCTTTCTCAAACCCATGCTAAATAGGCCTCTTTCGTCTTGACCTGGCATGTGTTTCATGTATATCGGCTTATAACGTTTAACAACCTTAGAGGGTCTTTCTTGTTCACTCCATATCGCTGACTATAGAAAGTTGGCCTTCACTCCAATAACTTTCTAATGAATTAGAGTGTTGCAATCCTCCAATTTCATGGAGACCGACCAAAAGCCGGCTCCTTTCTCACCTCTCTTAATCACAACCGATGTTCTTTACAATTACCTTTATAACAGTTAAGTTTAGATAGATTTTGAAATGGAATGAAAATATTTTAAGTCGTGATAGGGTAAAATACGTGTTTTTTTTTGTTTTTTTTTGCTATGCTAACAGCTTTATCAAACTAAACTGATCTGTGATAAATAACATAAACATTCTGTGATGTAGCAACAACTGAATGAAAATCAAGCAAATTAAACAAAAATTTGTGATAACATAAGAAAAGTGTCTTTTATTTCGCATTCAAATTATTTCTCTACTGAAAGGTACACGTAATTAAAGAATCTAAGCAGTTAACGTAAAGAACGCCTGATTCGCTACCTGAAATATCTGCGGACTTTCAATAGGTGCGTAGGGCATGGTTAGTGAATTGGTTTTAATGTTGTTAAGCACCAAGCTACACAATGGGCTATTTATTCTGTGTCCACCACGGGTATCGAAATCCGAATTGAGCGTCGTAAGTCTGTAGATTACCGTTGAGCCACTGTGGGGCTGGGTAGTGAAACAGAAAAGAGTATTATACAGTTTTTAGTGTCGTAGATCCGATCTTTTAAACACCAAGTATGCTAGATTATAAAGGCAATACAGCTGGAAAGGTTTCTTATTGAGCATTACGTGTATGAGCAGCTCAATAGAGAAACCGATTCCAGAAATTTCAACGCATGAAGTCTGTAATTAGATTTTTGTTATCATAACTTGAAAAATTATTAATCCTTGAAAATAACCTTTTTTGTATATATAATCTGTTATTTGTTATCATTATTCTTACATTTTGAAACAACTTTCCAGTAATTGTTCTTCTTATGTAGGAAAACATATTTTCGTTGTATTTCAAGTTAGCAGCTTCAAAAATATTAAGTGTTTGTTTGTTTGTTTATAGTTAAGGAAAAAGCAAATTATTTAGTGTATGATTTTCTAAAATAAAAAGATACGATATTAAATATATTTATACATATTATTATTGTTATTTCATCTTACGTATTTTAGTAGGTTCAGTACCCAGGTTTCAGCTAACATCAGCTAATCAAATTCTTATTACATGTCGCTGCGGCCGACAAAACTGGTTAAGGCTTATAGACACATTATGGCGTATAGTATTATTTCCTCAATTACTAAAAGCGATTAAGGTCTATACGAAGTACCAATATTCAATATTCTGTAAAATTTTAACCTACTCTTTGAAATTAATGCTAGTATCACTTTGCAATATAACAGACTTATAACAAACTCATAAATCAGTTGAAATTGTTAACAAATGCATGAATATAATATTTTATATTACCTGAA